TCTATATACATTCTATACTTTGCTATGTTTTAAGCAGGAATGCTTGTCCCAGTGAAATTTCTCTTACTAAACAATTTAAAGGAGGGAAGTGGAACCACAATATTGGATTAAAGAATTCTTTAAGAGCATAGGAATAAAGAAATAGAAAAGCAAACAGATCCCCAGTGACCATGTCAACTTAGTAAAGTCCCATTCCACCACTATAAAATATTATCAATGAATTGGGAGATATACATTCTTGCACTGAACATTGGAGATCCAAGAAAACAAGTGAACCCTAGGATGCTATCTTTGAGGGACTGTTGGTGTTCCTAGCATCGTAAGTGGCATTATAGTGTCACAGTTAGAACAAGTAACTGCCAGTGAATAGTTAATCAGACATATTTGTTCCTATTTACAATGAAATTCTTAGGGGCCTAAATCTTGGTGAATTTTCAGTACTAATTTGGAAAATATTAATTAAAGCTATCATTTAGTTAGGGGAAAAAAATCAATTTCCTACATCCAGTGTTCATTTCCAGGATGGTTGACTATATGTCGTCCTTCAGATTTTTAGTGACTTCAACATTCTGATGGTTAGCTAGATTAGTTACAGATGGTAAGAACCAAAATCTAACACAGTTGCCTTAGTTTATCTCTAAGCTGTTTGTATGTTACAAATACTAATATAGACAATGAGTAGGATGGTCCAATATAAGGATATAAATCTCTGGTCTGTAAGAGAGTTATCTCAGGAGCTGTAGATTTTGCATATCTTTTCTAAAGATAGAAAGGTTGTCTTTGCTCTCCTTGAAATATTTTGTCACTATGCTGAAATAGAGAATGCAAGTAAGGATTAGCCTGGAGAAGACTGGATTGACCAAATCTGCTATTTTCCAATTTGCCCAACATGTTTTGTCCCAAGAATAAATAAGTAGTACCATATCTTTACAAAAGGTGGAAAATAAAAAAAGAAAAAAATAAGCAGTGGCAGGGGACAATAGGTGTCCCTTTTGCATAAGATCAGCAGAGTTTAGGATTTGAGAATGTAAAGTTTGGTCTTGGTAGACATGTTTTGCCACATGGTTTTGTTGTATACCAGTTACTGCTATCGAGTTCAACAAATGTGGTATATATAAAGTTGAATGTCATGTCAAAGTTAACAAAGTGTACTTTTTAGGACACAGTTTTTAATAAGTTAATTTAATGAGAGTGTGCAAGTCAAGTCCTCTGACAGGACAAGTTATCAAGCTTATATTGTTTACAAGAAAATTAATGTCTCTTATAAAGTTTTCAGGTTCTTCAGCTATTGAACCATCTTAGAACTGCCATGAAGTACAATGCTCTATTCACAATTATATAGGAATAGAGCTTAGCAGTTGCTAGTATTCATATTCTGAATTATGTAAAGAATGTCCAAATTCTTTTATAGACGGGAGAAAAACTGTGCCATCTGTAACAAGACAATTTAATGTACAACTCAGAGGGGGGTGCTCCCTCCACCCAAAGATTTTTTTATGATAAAAAAAATACATGCTGTGGAAAAAAGAAAGAAAACATAATTATCTAATTATATCTCTTTCTACCTACAAGCATGCCATTAAACTGACTGTGCAGAACAGTATAATCAATCTTTCCACTACATTGATAGATGACTAATTATTAAATAGGAAGGCATATTATATTGGCAATCCTGGACTTTAAATCCTGGGGTTCCACCATCTTTCCAATACAGTATTGAAGAGTAACCTTTTGGCTGGCTATCCTTCCCATGCTTATTACATCCATAAATCCACAGTGATAAATTCAAAGTTCTTGTATATAATTCAGAGTCGCATTCACATCTTTAAACACTGTGATCGTTGTAATATTTATTAATTCACTTAAGAATATTGAACAAAAACAGGGCAATAGTGGACAAGCCTCTTATCATATAAATAAATCTTTCCTCAGGCCAACTGGTTTAACCCCTTCTCTTAGTTGTCCACTAAACATATTTGCTGAATTAGTCTGATCCTAAGATGAAAAATACATTTAATATTTTTTGATCCCTAGCCATTGCTTTTTTAATATGGGATACTCCAGTTCTTCGTTAGAGGGGTTCTTTAAAAAAATATCCGCTATCCAGCTTTATTATACAATACTCTTTTAACTGTTAATTCAAAGAATATTATCGACTTGGAATTATTTAAAACACATCCCAGTACTGACAATAACTTAAGAATTTAGGTGTCACTAATGTCAAACTGTCAAGATTGCAAGAAAGTTTAATTGAATACACAATAAAATCTCAATTCAAAGGACTATTTGGGAAATGGGAATGTCTATTATTCATAAATGCCTGTTAAATCAAAACTGTAATTTGCTCCAATTTATGTCATTTTATTTCATTTGAATAATGACCTAATTGCAGCATTGACACAATTACATCATTACACAAAAGATGCATCTGATGTAAACAATACAAACATATATAAACCATCCAGACTACTTAAATCAGCTGGAGTAAATGGTGATATTTAAAAGTTTTACTGTACTGCTGTTTTGCAAGTTTAGACAATTCAAATTTCTTTTGGAACAACTTAAATGTTTTCAAAACTTAATTGGGGTTTTTAACTGCTCCTTGAATTCTTTTAAATATCTGGGAATAGTTATTCCAAGGGAATATTTATTTATGGGTGCGATATATTCATGTTTTAGTTTGTTAAAAATGAACCTAAATCGATTGTTAAGAATCCTACTCTATTTGTATTTCCTTATTTCATGCCTTTACATTTTGTTGACTATTTCTTACTTCTTTTCTGTACGCTACATAGTGCTCCTTATCCTAAAATGGATATAAATATACCTATATTATATTATTAGGATATAATAACACTTTATGTTCATTTCTAGCTGTTTTCTTGAAATATTCTGTTTGTTTAATAAAATAAAACAATGATCCAATATCAAATTTAAAAACAGAAGGAGGTAAAATGCATCCATGAGAAGCCCACATGACTGAGTATAAAAGATTAAGTATAGCTGGCTAATCTTCTATATAAATAAAAATGTAAATGTTCGTTTGTTCAAAATCTTAAATCTCCGAAAGTTCTTCACCGATTGCTTTGAAATTTTGACACAACGTTGCATTCAAATACGTGCGTGTTTTTATATACCTACTATTATATAGATGTCACACCTGCGACAGGTAAAACATGCTCTTTAAAGCATAAAAACATGCTTTAATGAGCAACATCGTAGAAGCAACAATCTTGACAGGACCTTTCAAAGGTGAAGATGTCCTCATTCCTTGCATTCCTATGATTCCAACGGATATGCCATTTCAATTTAAGAGATTGCAATTCCCAATTCGATTGGCGTTTGCAATCACCATCAACAAAGCTCAGGGCCAAACTTTAGAATTGTGCAGTTTAGATCTAGACACGGATTGCTTCTCACACGGACAATTATATGTTGTGTGTTCTAGAGTCGGCAAACCAGACAATCTATATATCTGCACAGACAATGGAACAACAAAAAATATTGTATATCCACAAGCATTGTGAAATTAAACATATTACAAACATGCACTTTCTCTTTTCTTTCTTTTCCATTTAACCAGACTGAGCCACAGCAACGCGTGGCCGGGTACAGCTAGTATAAAATAAGACTGTTTCAAATATATCGTTTAAACAAGTCTACTCATATGAACAAATTGCAAAAAATAAAAGCATGAATTGATAGTGAAGGATGCCTGGGTGATGAGAAGTTCTGAATGTGAGACAGACCGCTTTTTGGTAGTGTCAAGAAAGGATTTTGAGGAAAAACACACGTGGAAGAAGAAAAGAGTAAAAGTAGAACTGCAGACAAAGGAAGTAAGAATTCAGCAAGAAAAAAGAATTATAACATAGACTGATCTTATAAAAGGATGAATAGAAAATAGAAATAAGGGCAAAAGAATATGGAAGCTACTTGAAATAGAATGAAAATTATGGAATACAAGAAAGAAAGTACCACCGAAGTGTATGCAGACATATACTATTGAGGGGGGAAACCACCACTAATTTCAATTTATTTCATTTTTTGTGAATACATATCCAGAATGTCAGTAATATAATAGCAAATGCTTGGCAACCTTTTATTAAACTGGACCTTACATGTTGGAAAATCTGAGAAACAGTGTCTATAATCTACATGCTAGAATCACTGTCAATATTTTTGCATCAACATTTGTTGGATAATAGCCTGTCCAAGATAGCAGGTGTTTAAATAGACTTCAAAATCTGCTAAACCTCACTGAGTATGGCTAGAGAAATGTTATATAAAATGGTATCATTATAAACTTGGTATTTGTCTGGTATGTATTATTTCTCAGATAGTTGTTACTAATTTCTTTCTTGTTTACATTTGACTCAATATTACATAATAGGGAGTAAAAACAATTTGATTTGTTGAGTTAGAAGCTTTATATACTTTATTCTAGCCGTGCCTAATTAAAAATATTACACTGTTGCAATTATTTCAGTAGAAAATAAAATAAAATGTAAATATGTCCTCAAGGTGCCAATGAAGAATCTCTTCCTCTTGGGATTTGGTGCCCTAAATTTCCCAGCTCATTTTGAACTCTTTCTTCCCACTAAGACAATTGTTCTCTTTTGAAGACAGCAGATAGCACAAGAGCAGGAAGTAACCCAAGATCAATTACTTACAAATATGTAGGATAATATCATCCATTACTTATGAATATATATGCTTGCAACATTTTTTTCCCTTTCCTGAAATGCATAATTATCAGTGCATCTTTTTTGCTAGCAGGGTGACTTATTTTGGTGGGGTCCCATACTGTATGTACTATTTATGCAAGAAACATTGCAATGAGCCTTATTTGCTTTGGGTCTGGGGTTTTGATTCCATAATGCTCATATAGTTCAGCTGTAGAAATATACTTTAACACTTCAAATTAATATTGTGCCTATTGATCAAAACATAAGAGCACAAGGGTTATAGTTATGAGAATTTTCATTTATTAAACAGAAATATTTTTGCATAAATTTTATACAAAAAGTAACTGCAAATTTTGTATAGACTTTCCACTGAAAAAAAAACTGAAAATTTATTTTAAAGTGTTTATTTTAAAAAATAAATTGACAGATAACACTATACTGCATGCTGAAAATCATCCCACATCATAGGGATTAGGGTTAGAATTTTTTAAAGACAAAATAAGTAATTTATCAAGCACAGTGGCTGTACAATTTGCAATGACAAGATGATCAGCCACAGTGGATTGCTTCCAAAGATAACATTTCAAAATGCCAGCTTCCAGAGACAATGCAAATAACATGAAGTATCTGTTTTCTTAAAAACTAACCATGGTTATCAGCAAGTAGTGTTGAATAGTCATCTAGGCTCAAGTCCAAGATATTCCAGCAACCAAAGGTAGTGAGATGCCAGAGTCTCTCAAGGCAATAATTACTTCTGGGATGGTATTAAATGAGCACTTTAAAGAATAATTAAATTAAAAGCAAATAGTCTTATAGCTTGTAACTGTATTAGAAATTCCTGTTGTTGGGAATCCAGTTATCTGAGAGCCTGGTTTGTGGTCAAGGTAATTACAAAGACAAAGCCTTATTCTCTGCATGCTTCTCTAGGTACACACCCGTGGACCTGGTAATATAGACATTTGGAGAATGCTTGGGATTCTCCTTTTGTTGGAGGACTGTTTAACTAGGGAGTGTCATCCATCACAAAATTAGTTATACAACATTATTATAAATTAGATTTGTTCCTATCTGCTGCAGTTTCTGGAGACTCCTCAATATAACCACATCCTCTTTTGTAGAAAACAGCTACTGGTTATTGCAACAACCTAGTGATGATTTGAATACGTACTGTAGGTCGTGATCTTAAAGACACTGATGTGAAGATGGGAAGCAATTTGATTGCAGACACTGACACAGTATCGGAGTAAATCAAAAAGAGAAAAAATCTAAAAGGATAATATAAACATATATGAGATTTGGACATAAAAACTTTGACACAATTTACTCTTTGGGTTTTGAACTCATTGTTTTAAACATTAGGATACTCTTTCAATAAAGCTGTATAGTTTCACAAGACAGAACTGCAAACCTATGTTGAAATCCCTTATCATTCAGATGAATATCTTTCATGATTTGGTTATAACATGGACAAAATATGGCAACTATTGTCCTGAGCACTTTGGAGAAAGGATAGGTTAACTATGCAGTAAATGAAATCTGTGACATGAAAACTCCAATAGTATCAGTGATTGAAATATCAGAGTAATTATCAACACTTTAATATCAACATGATCTTAAAAAACAAAAAAAGAATAAAGAATTTAAAAAACCATTAAAGAAAAAACTAAACCCCACAAGGAAAGAGTGCATTTTAAAAAAATTGACAACATGGCTAAAATGAATTATATTTTCTTATTGAGGATATGAAGAGAACTGCAAAATGTTATCTCTCTTTAGGAACACTGGCTTATTTTTAAAAAGATGAAAAAAAATATGGGTTGTATTTCCAATGCACATAGCTAAAGGAAAAGATTGATACCTGATCTAGGATACCCAGCTATGATTTCTCAGTATCAAACACAAGACTACAAGTTCAGCGGAATATAAATGTGTTTCTATTCTAAAAATTCTCCTTTCTCAAATTACAGATGACATTACTTTATTATGCAATTTAAAACATCAAACCACTTGTCATTTCCTGCTGTGGGTGAGTGTGTGTGTAGGCATGATCCAGAGATATGGAAAATTATACTGGTTTGTTTCTGGGTATGATTCAAGGTTCTGGATGCTTCCTTAAAGCTCTACACGGCATAGGGCCTGGGTATTAGAGGGCTTGGCTGTCTCCCTAACATCTGCAGGGTTGGTGCACTCTGGGTTCTTTCAATTAAACAATGTTAGCACTCAGTACTACAGAAACATGCCTTCTCTATAGCAGTGCCTGCCCTTTGGAACAAAGTTCCCCTTAAGATCCAGGTAGCTCCCACTTTGCTGTTGTTTAGAAGAATCATGAAGACCTGGTTCTTCACTTTATCGCGCTTGCCATCATTTATTTTTATATATTATTGATTTTATATATTTTTTTGCTGTTGTGAGCTGTCCAGAGTTGTTGAGAATGGGTGGCATACAAATTTATAAATAATATAATAATTATGAATCCAGCATTGCCATTAGAAAACCAAGGATATATACATGTATCTTAAAAATGCATTTGCCACTTACCAAGGCAATCCAAAGTACAATGTATTCGTCAATAAAGCTATTAAAATATTGGTCCAAGAACAAAAGTGCTGGACCTATGAATGCTGTGTCGTGGAGGTGCATCTCGCTTTTGGTCATATGAGCAACCTACAGAGAAAAAACAAGCATTTGTTATTTATAATAAGAATTAGTAATGTCTATGGAGGAAGGAACTACATACAGTACATTTGATTAAATGTTTCTCTTCAAGGACTGAATTATGGCCAGTCATAGGATAAACCTTGTTGAAGTGCCTCCATATACACTAATAATTCTGGACTGGCAGAAAAAAGAATAAACCTGCAATAGTGAAGTATTTCACAGAAAATTAGTTAAGAGCACAAGGAAATACTTACCACTAGTTTGTTAGTTATCTTAGCAGAAACAAACCCAAAAGTCAGTATATAGAGGCAAGGATGTTTTTCAAAAAGTTCCACAGCAGATTTCTTGTAGATCATGGCAGCTAATGTAATGACAGTTCCAATATGAAGAAATGGTGAAAGGACACTTGTTCCCTACATAGGAAAGAGATTTAATATTAATTTATAACGCTGGGCATATAACATAAATACAATTGTCAGCATTTCAGAGCACACTTTGGTCAAACATACATACAGTAGTGGCCAAAATTGTGGAAACCTTTTGGGAAAAGTGTACAGTAGAAATGCCACCATTGGTTAAGTTTCCACCAATTTTTCTTCTAATTTCTTTACAACTGTAGCCTTGTTCACTTAGTAATACTATTTTACATCGCTTTCTGGGCAACCAGTCAGCTCTTTGCACCATTACTTTAATTTTATTATGTTTTACAAGCTCATTAAATGAAAGGGGGGAAAAAAAAAAACCCAACTTGATAGCGGTCACATAACACACTGACAAATGTCCTTCTCTCAGCTTCAATACATGACATCAATAACTGAATCCTACTGTGACCTGATTGGTTCATTGCCAAAACAAGATGATGCCTGATTGGCTCTCTAAACACTCATGCTCATTGGCTACAATCAGATGAAGGAAAGCTACCTGATATCAATCTAAGCAAGTTGTGCTTCCTTTTTCTGGTTATTTGGTATAACTTTTCATAGGATACAGTACAGATAATTGAACAAACTATGTTGCATTACATTCTTTATTAAATTATCTTTCCATTGATACATAATTTTATGGTACTACTCCAAAAAAAGTGGTGTTATTAGCCATCAAACCTCAAAAATAAACTTTTCCCAAAAGGTTTCCACAATTTTGGCCACTACTGTACATATATACATACATACATACTTTTAATAACTAAATCTCACTGAATTTTTTCAAAGTTAATGGAGAACTAATAAGAACTATATTACCTACAATATTTAGTTAAGATGCAAGGAATGAATAAGCATACATTCATCTAATTTATTTAATTCTGCAATTTAAAGATAAAGTTGATCAGTTTTAAAAAGACTCTGAACAGAATAACACTAAAGAAAAAAAGAAAAGAAAAACAAATAATCAACTCAGAGAAATGATTGAACAATGTGTAGCTAACACAGATGGCTGGGTGAGAAGCTACCAATCCAAGCCTGGCAGTGCAAGTCACTTTCTTTAGTTTATATGCTAAAGGAAGAAGGGTCCTGAGGAGAATACAGTTTGGGAATGGAAGGTCATGTTTGAGGAGGCTCAGAAATTTAACCTAGGAATATCTCCCTCTATCCAGAGGCAAAATTATGACTATATTTATAATCAGAGAAGGCAAGGTTTGGTAAATATGTTCCAATATGAAATGAACTTGTTCATAACCAATTTTAAATTACTTAAGTAATAAAAAGTTACTATATCATGTTTTCTTCATATTCCACACCTAGATACAATATCTCAGAAGTGTAAATAAAGGAGAAAAAGTAAATTTAAAAACAAAAAGAGGTTGTTGGTGGCAACAGGATAAACAGATCCTCTGAGGACCTTCAAGAATTAATAACACTGACTTTAATTTTGAAGATAATAGGAATACAATTTTTAATTTACATTGTTGGTCTTTAAAGGGCTACAAGCCAAACTGGACAATTGTATTTGACTTTTGTGTGATTATAGAGTGGGAGAAGGAAGATTAAAGCAAAAAAATGGATGCCTTAAGTTGCTCTGAAGTTTGAGGTGGAAAAAACCCTATTCAATGAAATTGGTGGTTTTGTTGCTGGATTTCAACAGTGCCATCAGTAGACACCCTGGAGATTGCAGAGCAGATTGTGGGAGGCACTGATAAAACTCAGCTTATCACCTGTCTACACTTTATATAGAGAATGGTGGGGTAACCTAAACATTTCATGTAATTCCCAATATACAGTGGTGTTTAAAGTTTGTGAAGCCTTTTGAATGTTCAATGTTTTGGTATAAAAGTGGCCTAAAACATTATCTATTTTACACAAAATCCTAAAACTTAAAGAGTACACAAGTGAACAAATCAGCCAAAATGCTATACTTGTTCACTTATTTATTGATGAAAATCATGCAAAGCTACATATTTGTGTATGGTAAAACTATGTAAACTTGCTTTAAGTAACTGGTGTGCCCTCCTTGGGCAACAATAATTGCAACTAAATGTTTCCAATAACTGTTGATCAGTCCTGCACATCACTGTGGAAGTATTTTAGCCCAAACCTCCACATAGAACAGTGTCAACTCAGGGATGCTGGTGCGTTTCCCTCCAAAACGCTGACTTCTTTTTGCTTTAACCATTCTTTGATTGTGCAATTTCTATGTTTTGGATTATTATCTTGTTGCATGACCGACTTTCTCTTGGTCATGAATTTATGGATAAATACCCTTATTTTCCTGTAGAATTTGCTAGTACAATTCAGACTTCCATAAATAATGGAGCCATCCTGGTTCAGAGGCAGCAAAGCAGGGCTCAATCATGATATGACCACCACCATCTTTCACAGATAGGATAAGGTTTTTATGTTGGAATGAAAGCTTTGCCTTTTTGCCAAACATAACGCATTTCACTTAAGCTAAAAAGTTCTATTTTGATCTCATCTGTCCACAGAACATTGTTCCAATAGCCTTCTGGCTTATCAATGTGGCCTTTCACAATTTTTAGATGGGCAGCAATGTTCTTTTTAGAGACTAGTGGCTTTGTCCTTAGAATCCTGCTATGTACCATTGTTTAGTATTCTCATATTCACCAATGCAAGGGAGGGCTTTAGTTCCTTAGATGTCACTCTTGGGTTCTTTGAGGCCTCTGAGTGGCCTCACACACTTTGAGGCCTCACACACTTTGCTCTTGGTGTGATCTTGGTTGTTTGTCCAGTCTTGAAAAGAGTAACAAAGTGTGAATTACCTCTATTTCTATCCAATCTACCTGATAATGGATTGGAGAGTCCAAACTCTTTGGGAATAATTTTGTTACCTTTTTCAGCCTGGTGAGCATCAACAATTGTTTTTCAGAGATCTCGAGAAATCTCCTTTGTTTGAGCCATGTTGTGAAGATGAGACTTTGATACTGGTACCCAGAATTTTCTTTTCTTTAAATAAGGCAGGACTTCCTACACTCACACCTGATTATCTTTCCATTGACTGAAATGCCTGACTCTCATTTCCCCTTCAAATGATCTGATAATCCTAGAGGTTTGCACATTTTGCCAAACACAAATATATAGTTTTCAATCATCTTTCTAATTAAGTAAATGAACATGTGCGTTTTTTACTCATTTGTTTAACTGGGTGATCTAGTTTCAAGATTTGTGTGGAGAACAGATAACATTTTAGGTCATACATGCAAAACACTGAACATTTAAAAGGGTTCACAAATCTTTAAGCACCACTGTATCTATTAAACACTCATCTAAATTAATACAAAATCTGCTCCCAAGACAACTGGTCTTAGTTTATTTTTTAGAAAATCATCAATGGTGCTGAAGTAGCCTAAGAAGTGTGGACAAACAAAAACTGCTGTTTTCTTTAATCTGATTGGAATGTTTTACCTTATGAAAATGTATAAAAACTATTATAAGACAGTTTGAAATTTGCAATAGAAAATGATGCACCTGCAGAACCAGATGCAAAAAAATATCTTTTCTTAGTCACTTTATTATGTTGGAATTTTTATTTCAATATTCTTACCTTTTACTTGGTAATGTAGTGAAAGTTCTTATTAATTAGCTTTCAAAATTTCTAAAATAAGATTATTTTATTTTAAATCATATAAAATCAGATTGATCAAAGTAATTTTGCTTCAGATCCTGTCTATCTGAGAATGCCATCTGATGAGAACTAGGAACTAGGAAACTAGGAAATGGATATTTTTTATTTCAAACCCTGTGCCTGACCATAGAGATCTAGTCTACCTCTTCTGTCTGAAGTTTGGTTTTTCATCTAATCCAGGAGATGTTGTGAGTCCTCGCCTGCCAGCAGATCCAGCAGCCAAGTCAGATGAATCGGATGAGGGGGAAGGGTTGCCTGGGGTCACATCGGAGTCTGTGGAAGGCTCTGAGGAACACGAAGACTATCCATCAATTGGTGCGGCAGCAATTAGATAAGGCCAAGGCAGATTATAAGAAAGTTGCCGATCAGTCATGACGAGATACGCCTGCATTAGCTGTGGGAGATTGGGTATGGCTGTCAACCAGGCACCTTCTGTCAGACCGGCCTGCCAAGAAACTGGACCACTGGTACCTAGGCCCTTTCCCTATTAAAGCCATCATTAATCCAGTCGCTTATCGGTTAACATTGCCACATTCGTTACAGGTACATCCGGTCTTTCACCGGTCCCTCTTGGTCTCAAAACAACTGGCGTGTCCGCTCTGCCAATCAGAATGTCCCTCACCGGAACAGTGGGATGGAGACAGTGCTCTGGAGTATGAGGTTGCCAATATTCGAGATTCCTGTTGGTTGAAAGGCCAATTCCAAGATTGATTGAGTGGAAGGGCTATGGGCCGGAGGAGTTCACCTGGGAGGACGCGACCACTGCACATGCTCCTGCGTTGGTGACAGCGTTCCACAAACAATTCCCTTCACAGCTGCATCCGGCCCGTCAGACCCGGGGGAAGGGTCCTGCGGTGAGGGATAGTGTTGTGAGTCCTCACCTGGCCAGCAGATCCAGCAGCCGAGTCAGATGAATCGGATGAGGGGAAGGGTTGCCTGTGGTCACATCGGAGTCTGTGGAAGGCTCTAAGGAGCACGAAGACTCAGAGCTAGATGTAACACCGGGCCCATCTACTCATGCTCAGGCAGAGAGACAGCTAGGTTGGGGGCCTGAACTGAGTGAAGATGAAGAGCAGCTAGGGCCTGTTCCAGATGCACGGATGCGCAGGGAGGAAAGGTGTGCAGGCCAACGGAGGATGGTGGGGCGGCTCTCCAGGAAAAGTAAAAGACTCTAAGAAGCCACGCCCTGGCTGGATTATAAAGAGGAGAGGGCGTGGGAGGGGCTGGTTGCCAAAGGCAAACATTCATGCTACAGCTTTGTGCTTCTGTCATTGGATTTCTTGCCTCAGGATTTTTGGATATTTAACCAGATTTGTCGGCTTTATGTGTGTTTGAGTGACTTAAACCTTGAGCATTCCAGCAGAGAACTCAGAGACGTAAATCTTGTTTGTTTCAATAGCTAAATAGCTATTCAATAGCTGGTTGGAGTTTTGTTCCATAAAAGCCGTGTAAAAATAAAAGGGGTTTATCTTACCAAGTCCTGCCTTGTTCAATGCAAAGGGGTTTTTCCTCATGAGTAAGCGGTTGAGCAGTATTCGCGTAGGCTGGGACAGAACAGGAGAAGGACATGCTTTGAATGTTCGGATGCATTGGAAAACACAGAATTTTGAATTTTTAAAAATCTGTTATGATGCTGTTGAGAATTTATTATTTTAATGAGTTAATTTTTACTGAGAGTTTTTTGATAGCCCCTATGAGCCTTTGGAAAAAGGCAGGAAGGCAGGCAGACAGACAGGAAGGATTACACAGAAGAGAAAATAGAAGAACAATGTATACTAAAAATACAAAAGAAAACAGAAAAACACCTACTGCTATGGTTGATCCATTTTTGCCAACTCCACCTGTGAAGATCACACCAAAGTAGTTTGTACAAGAGAATATGGTTCCTGCTACTGTACAAATAGCTGGAAGTATTTTCATGTGAATGTTTAACACTGGAACCTTAACAAGAAAGGAAAAATATTAAAAGTTTAAATATTTCATGTTAATTTTATTTTAGATTTAAATGAACTCAATACATTCCACTTTTCTAAATCTGTATCCAGGAATTTTTTGGAACAGGGGTTTAAGAAAACCCTTGGAGTAAATTACCTTTCAGAATTTTATTTATAATGATTGAAATAATAGACCTACATGTGACTATTATTTCCTACAAAAAAACAAATAATAACTGAATAGAAGGACCAAACATTTGAATGCCTATTTTGGCATAATCAGGAACCAAGATTTAATTAAGTTATAATAGATATTGTCCTTGAAGTAAGAAATGGCATAATGAAAATAATTGACTGCATATGTTCAGGGAAAATAGCTGCCTGAAATCAAAGAAGATAGTCAGAACTATATTACTTGTAAACATGATGATTAATGGATAATAATAATAATTGCTTCACCTATAATCCTTTACATTATCCAATTATTGTTAATTTCACAAGAACAAGAATATTGCTTTATGTCACAGTACAGTAATATTAGCAATGGCTCTGTGGAATTTTAGACCAGTCTGAAGATAACTAACCTATGCCTTTCTACACACAAAACATGCATTTAGTCTTTATAGACTAAGTAAT